TTCAGGTCCCCCCCCTCCCTCCGTGACCTGGATCTGACCTCACGCCACCTGCGGGGGGGCCACCGCCGGCCACACCTGTGGGGGGTGGGCGGCCGTCCCGGGAGCTCCAGGCTATTTTTGTGCGTAGTTACTCTTCTCTCCATTGCATTGTTAGCCGAGGTGACAAGCAACAGGCTCCTCGCCCGCCTGTCCAGCTGCAGCATCAACGTGATCGCTTTAAGCCAATTACATCTAGTTTCCTTATGAAAAAACCGTTGTCGGAGCGGCAGTTTTGCTTTGCCAATCAGAAGGCTTTGCCCCCAAAAGCAGTGGAGGATGCCTGTCGTTTTGGGGCGGCCGCCTGTGTCCTTACGTAGGCCTGGACCCCTGCCGGAGATGCGGGTCAGCTCCGGAGCCTGGGGACCCGGGCCCCTCCGCTGCCGTGTGGCCTCGGATGTGGCAGAGTAAACTCCCTTGAGTCACAAGCCAAGTTTCTCCCCCACTTGCTCCTCAGGCAGTTTCCCTGCCCCTTGCTGGTGATGAGAGTGACCTGGGGCGCTTATTAAAAATTCAGCCTCCCAGGTCCCTCCCCGCTGAGTCCACGAGCCTGGGAAGGGGTCTGGGGATTTTAATTTTTGACAAGCGCCCCCGGTGATTCTCATCGCCAGGCAAACTTGGGAACCACTGTCTTCAAGGCCTTTAAATTAGAAACCTCTTGGTAGCTCATTTTTTTAAAATCTATAGTCGGAGGTGTAGCCTGGCTCCCGGGGCCTCCGGAGCAGCAAGGCCTGTGGTGTGCAGATGCCCCCCTGTGACCACAGTGTGAGGCCTGGGAAGGGCCGGGCTGCCCCTGACTGCCCACCGGCTCTATGACCCTGGAAAAGTCCCCTTGCACTTGAGTCTCTCCACCTGCGAAATGAGGGACTTGGACCAGGTAGATTGCCGAGGTCAGTACCCGTCCCAAAGCCCAGTGACAGCCTCGCTCCACTGAGGTTAAGAGAAGGTCCCCCGGGGGGCCCGGAGCTGCCCTCCCAGTCGAAACGTGTGGATGTCATCCTCTGCATTCCTGTTTCTTTTTTCCCCACTGTTCTTCATCTCATATAAAGAAGTTTCTGGGGTTTTGTTTCATTCTGCGCTTATTTGTCATTTGACTTTTTAGCCCAGGTCTCTGGCTAACGCTGGCTTTTGATACCAAACAGTTCCAAAGTGGGGCCTGAGTCTGGAGAAGGCTCTTCCCGGGTTGTTCTGCCAGCAGATTTCTGGTCCAGCAGCCTGCCTGCTGTAGCCTGTCGGACGGAGACCGTCTTTCCAAAGCGTGTCTTCTGAAACGGGCGTCCCTCGGAGCGTCAAGTTCTCCTCTCCAATCCCGTGGGACTTGAATGTCTAAAAACCCTGCACTTTTGAAAAATCAGTGGTTGCTGCCTGGAACTGTGAGCAAAATGGCCTGGATGCTTTAAAAATTTTTTTTTCCCCTGCTCCCAACTCCTTTGCTCGGGGACAGGCTTGATAGAAAAAGGGGGCCTGTGTGGACGTTTCAGGGGTGGAGGGAGTCCCCTGGGGGCTGGGCGCCCACCCTGTGGCCACAGGTGGATGTAGCTCGCGCATTGGTCCCCGTGACCGCGACAGTTGTGTCTGTAGCCTGGAGAAATTATTTGCTGACAATCACTAGATCGTCCTAATGAGTAACATCAGAACAGCCATTATCTCAAAAGACTAAGATCCCTGTGGTCTCGGCCGGCTCTGCGTAGGTTTAAGGTACCCCAGATCCGCCCTGTGGCTTCCCCAGGTTCTTGTCTAGTGCTTTCCCTTCTCGCGTCGTTTTAGCACCGAGTGGCGCCCCCCCC